TGTGGACCTGGGGGCTCAAGAAAGATTTGTTTTTTTTTTAAAATTTTTTTTTTTTTTTTTTTTTTGATGTGGACCATTTTTTGAAGTCTTTGTTGAATTTGTTACAATATTGCTTCTGTTTTATGTTTTGGTTTTTGGCCAGGAGGCACGTGGGATCTTAACTCCCCAACCAGGGATCGAACTTGCATCCCCTACATTGCAAGGCGAAGTCTTAACCACTGGACCTCCAGGGAAGTCCTCAGGCTGTGTCTTGACGTGCCTGGGTTGTGACATTGTCAATGAGTCGAGACAGAGAGAGAGGACAGCATTCCTTGTGCTCAGCCCTTCCCTCTCTTCCTCCTCTGAAGATAACAGCTCCCATGTTTGACCCCCTAATATGTACCAGGCACTGTGTCCTGGGCAATTGACACTTCCTACCTCTGTTAATACTTGCAATAATCTCTGTGAGGCAGGGGCTGTTGTTCCCATTTTACAGATGAGGAAACTGAGGCTCAGGAACTACTGAGTATCAAAGCTGAACTGAAAACCTTGGTCTTTGGATTCCATGTCCTGAGTTCTTCCCCTATGTGCCATGCTTCCACTATCTGAAAGCAGCCTTGTCTAGACAGAGGAGGTGACTACCATGTGATATGGCCGATTGCACAGAAAGATTTTTTTTTTTTGGTCGCACCACACAGCATTCAGGGATCTTAGTTCCCTGACCAGGTATCGAACCCGGGCCCCCTGCAGTGGTAGCGTGGAGTCCTAACCACTGGACCACCGGGGAATTCCCAAGATTTCTGTCTTGGAGGGGGAATCCCTCCACACTGTGCCCCACTGAATGAATGCATGGAATTCCTTTTACTGGAGACAAAGCTTTGCATATCAAAAAGGTATGGAGGGTGGGAACAGGATCCCCAAGGAACAGGGGTCTGAGTGTCCCATTAAGGCCCTTTTCTGGCCTTCTGGGCTCTACCTAGGGGCTTAGCTGGGGTTGGGAAGGTACAGGGGCCATCTCAGAAAACAAACTTCCTGCTTCCATCTCCTGCCTGAGAACCACCCTGTTATCTTTCAGCATATCTGGGAGTTTCCCTCCACCATCATTTAGTTATTAACCGGCACTTCTTGAGCTAATCTAACACCTCTCCAAGTACATTTTCATAATTTCCAATTAATCCAGTAACACAGAACACGAGGTATCAGAACTCTCAGGAACTTCATCTTTGTTTTCTCCCAAACAGTTGTCCCTCCAAGCAGGTCCCTCCACCTTCAAGCCCAGTTGAGACAAAGGTGGATGATCCAGTCCATAGTTCCACTGCTGGCCTTCCCTCCTCTGAACGACCCTCTTCTGAAGGAAAGGAAATCAAAGCTGCACCAACGCTTTAGCTCTTTGTTCTTAGGTGGTGGGAGGTCAGGGGAAGGATAAGTTTGGGCGCTTGAAAGCTCTATGTCCTAAAAAAGATCTGACCTCTTTGGAGTGACTCTGGACTAACATGGCAGCCGTGGGGCTCACATATGCTTGTCTGGGGGGTAGGGGCCTATGATCCCTTGGTCTGCACTCCACTTCATCCCCCTCTGTGACCTCAGGAAATGGAGGCAGACTCAGGAAGAGGCTGATGAAAGGATTGCCAGCCCTGCTGTCCCCATATATCAAGCAAATCCCCACCTCCAAGATTTTTAAACAGATTTTTAAACAAATATTGTGGCTTTCAAATGCATTAGGGCATATTCTTTCCTTTCAGAGTTGTATCGTGCAAACAACAATCAAGGAAAACATAAATAATACCACCTTCCCTCCCACCACTTCGAGAAAGCCAGCTGTGTCCATTCTCCCACATTCCCCACGTTCTCTATCTTGTATATGGTTTTTCCCAGCAAAGGCTTCACCTTCCTGATTCTTCTTAGCTTAGGAGACCAAGAAGATGTGGCTTTGTTCCCTGAGGTCCTCCAGAGGATGGAGAAGGGAGGAGGGGGTGGGAGGCCTGTCTGGGATGCAGTGTCTGGACAGACCACTCCCTGTGGTTGGTGACCAGGGGCAACTTCCTGCGGGGTGAGTGGAGGGAGCATTACGGTTAGGAGGGGGTCTGGCTTCCAGCCCTGACTCTGCTGGGAATGTGCCCTGTGACCTTGAGCAAGGGCCTGCACCCTTTCTAAGCCTCAGCTTCCTCATCTATTAATGAGCGAAGTAACTCTGACCAGCAATTCCCAAAGTGGGTTCCGTGATAGGTATTCCCAGAGAAAAGGGAGGAGGGGCAGGCAGGTGGGTCTATGCTCTAATATGTTGGGAACACCAGAGTAAACAAAACTCAACGATTTCTTTATTGCAATACTGCCTGGAGCCTTAGACACGTGGCCCCTAATCTTACGTTTTCCTCTGATGGCTGGACTTACAACCTCCAGAGGCCCTTTCAAACTAGAGGCTATCGTCATCACTATCATCTTAGCCCCTAAATGTTGAGCACTTGACATGCCCCAGACACCACGCTAGTGCCTCATGCAGCTTAGCTCATGGAATCCTCATAACGACCTTTTATTTATAAATAAGGAAGCCGATGCACAAAAGAGGTCATGGGACTCACCTGAGGTCACACAAGAGGCTTAGACAAACCCAGGCTGCCCATTCCTGGGGTCCTTGACACCACAGTGCTTGAGATGACCTGCTGTCACCTTGGAGGCTATTTCCCTTCCTTGATATGTGGCTGACCCCAAATACCCAAGTGAGACCCACTACTTGGGGAGTCAGAGGCCACAAAGGTGCCTGACCACTTGTAAAAGTCCAAGGAAAGGAAGAGGTGGCCTTGCAGCTCCTCAGGCTTCAGGGACAGGCTCCCCGTCCTTCTGTGCTCCTCTGCAAGTGGCTGGCTGGCCCTTGACTGTGTCACATATCTACCAGGAGCTCAAGAGCACAGATATGAAGTACCGGAACCGCGTGCGCAGCCGAATCAGCAACCTCAAGGACCCCAGGAACCCCGGCCTGAGGCGGAACGTGCTCAGCGGGGCCATCTCCTCTGGGCTCATTGCCAAGATGACAGCAGAGGTGAGGGTCGGGGCCGGGACCTCTGCGTGGTGGGACAAGGGGCCGGGCCCCTCCAGCCTTGCCCAAGTCTGAGAGGCAGTGACTTGTAACTCAGTGATGAATAAGGGGCTTCCCTAGCCAGACCATCTAAGACTCCCCATCCCTCAGGGCCCCTGGACCATCAGGACAGTGAACACAGCTACCATGTCTTCAGCACTGTGCTAATCGCTTTGGTGTGTTGGCCAATTCTAACTTCACACCGACCGAGACAGAAATGTTTATCATCTCCATCTTATAGGTGAGGATACTGAGGCTCAGAGGACTTAAGTGATCTGCCCGTGCACACAGCTAGAAAAGGTCGATGCCAGGAGCCAAGCTGTCTGGCCCCGGAGCACCCTCTCCTCCCTGCCTTGTGATCTGCCTCCCTCTTCTGCCTCATTCAGTCCTATATCCCATTACTCAGCTCTGGGCCGAAGCCAAAATCGGAGTCCCTGACTCCATGGAGCACAGCCCAAGGTGCGGGGACAGACATGTATACAAATACATATGATACAGAGGTGGTGGCTGCCATGACAGAGCCACCATGGGAACTTACAGGAGGGAAGGATTGACCCAGTTTGAAGGGGTCAGTAAGGGAAGGTAAAGGGAACAAGCCTGTTTGAGGAAGTGCAGTGGTTAGAAGCTCGGGGCCTGGGCCGAACTGCCGGGGTTTGACTTCTGCCTGTGCCACTTAGCTGTGTGATCTTAGACCAGCCACTTAACCCCTTTGTGTCTGTTTTCTCATCCGTAAAGTGGAAGTAATAACAGCTATCCCATGAAGGATTGAATGAGTTAACACATGTGAAGTGTTTAGAAGGTTAAGGCAAGTAAAGCCCTCCCAGGAATTAGTATATGTTAGGCCCATTCACTGGCCATTTCATCACAGTGCTATCAAAGAGGAAATATTATCCCCATTCTGTGGATGAGAAAACTGAGGCCACCCTCAGCTCCTAAGTGATGATGAGGATTTGATCCCAGATCTGTTTATTTCAGAGTCTCTGTCTTGGAAAGACCTTTGTACACCCTCAGGTATGAGTGGCTCTTTGCTGCCAGAGCTAACTCAGGGGATTCCCCGCAAGCACGTGGCAATGGCACTGCTAAAGCGCTACTAAATCCAAGCGGCCCAGAGAAGCGGAGGGGAAACGCACTGACGTCCTGGAGTCTGGGTGTGCCTTGGGGTGTCTGGGAACCCTCTGAAACTATTGTCAAGAGTGTGCCTCTGTGTGTTTATGGTGTGCGTGATGTGTATGTATGTGTGGTTTATGTGATTTAGTGTATGTGTGTGTGGTATCTGTGGTTAGTGTGTGGTGTATGCAGGTGTGTGATGTGTGTGTTATGTAATGTGTACGTGTACATTTTTCTGAGAAGAGGGTTTGCTGCTTTCCTCAAATACCCAAAATTTTACAAAGAGCCCTGGCTTTAGGATAAAATGGGGAACTTGGCACAGGTGGACAGGGATATCTTTTGGCTTAATCTAAAATATATGCTCTTTTTAGGCAAATAACAACATATACCCAGAGTTAGAAATTGCAACTTGGCTTAACAGACTATTATCCTTCCCTGTGAGGTGAAGCTGTGACTTTGATGGGAATCCAGCCTGCATTTCCTTCTCTCTGTCCCTCACTCTGTGGCTCTGGGGTCCCTCTGCTTCTCTTTGTGTGTGTGTCGTGGGAGTGCTATCAAGAGACTGTCTTACAGGCAGTTCCAGAAACATTGGGAAACCAGGCCCCGGAGAACCAAAAGCAAGGTGTAGGCACAGGTGTGAGCCAAACCCAGCAAGTTCCCAGAAGCTGGAGGCCAGAACAGAGCTGGGTGACTGAATTAGGACAAAGACAGGCCCCAGAAGTCTCAGCAAAGGAACCGGCCAAGTCTGGCCCCATCCAAGGACTATTCACTAGAACAGGGCAAGAGAATCAGGTGATCAACACAGGCCCAAGAAGAGGCTGACCAGGCCAACGGCAGCAAGCCAGGACTGCATCACACCCTCCACAGGGACTGCCAGTGCCAGCCGCTGAGAAGCCCCCTGCCCGCAACCCAGGCAACGGAGGCCCAGGAGCCCTCCTTCCTGGGGTCAACTTTTGCTCTAGGCAGGAAGCTTTTATAAGAAATAGAGGATCAGACTTCCCTGGTGGTCCAGTGGTTAAGACTCTGTGCTCCCAATGCAGGGGGCCCAGGTTCGATCCCTGGTCAGGGAACTAGATCCTGCATGCTGCAACTAAAAGATCCCACGTGCCGCAGCTAAGATTTGGTGCAGCCAAATAAATAAATTTCTTAAAAAAAAAAAAAAGAAATATAGGACCATTTTTGCTCCAGGAAGAAAAATAACAGGGACTTCCCTGGTGGTCCAGTGGTAAAGAATCCGCCTTCCAATGCAGCGGGTGCAGGTGCGATCCCTGGTCAGGGAACTAAGATTCCACATGCTGCAGAGCAGCTAAGCCCATGCGCCACAACTAGAGAGAAGCCCGTGCACCACAACGAATGCAAGATCCCACGTGCCGCTACGAAGATCCCGTGTGCCACAACGAAGACCTTACAGCCAAATAAATAAATATTTTTTAAAAGATGGGGCTTCCCTGGTGGCACAGTGGTTGGGAGTCCGCCTGCCGATGCGGGGGGCACGGGTTCGTGCCCCGGTCTGGGGGGATCCCACGTGCCGCAGAGCAGCTGGGCCCGTGGACCCGTGGGCCATGGCCGCTGAGCCTGCGCGTCCGGAGCCTGTGCTCCGCAGCGGGAAAGGCCACGGCAGTGAGAGGCCCGCGTACCGCAAAAAAAAAAGAAAAAAATAATAGCTTGGGGTTGGGCTGCCTGCTGTGCTGTGGCTCAGAGGCCAGGGGCTCCCGTCAGGCAGAGCCTGGGGCAGCTGATGCCTGTGTGAGTGAGTGGACATCCCTCTCTGCCTCCTGTGTCTCCCTAACTCCCTTTTTATGTCTCTTTCCTGGTCCACCCGATTCCCTCATTCTTCCTCCTTCTCTCTTTTTCTCTCAAACCCAGATGATTCAAAGAATGGGGCAGATTCTGAGATACCCATTAGAGCTGTTGAGTGGACATACTGGCAGCCCACAAGGAGAGGGGTTTTGTTCCCAGTGTCAAAGCCAGTGCCTGGTATGTCATAAGTACTCAACAAATATTTAGCAAATTCACATTGTACATGACGTGAAAATCCAGTGGCATCTCTACACTTATTTTCCTCATTTTCGACCTTATTTTCTATATTACTGTACTGACCCCGTGTGTCTTTGATGCTGCCTCCTAAATGAGGCAGGAAGAGATAGGTAAATGGATTGGTAAGTGGATAGAGTTCTCCTGATCTCTATTTCTTTTCTTTTTTTTTTTTTAATTGAAGCATAGTTGATTTCCTGTTTATTTCTTAGCTGGCACAGTCTGACCCACAGCCACGTCTCCCAAACTCCTCACCTTGACCCACACTGAGTACCCTTCCCCAAACATGTTATTCTTGTCCTCTGATCTCTGGCATCTATTATTCTCTTGTGCCATCCCCCTCAGGAAGTCCTGCTTATCTTTCAAGACTGGTGAAGGTGTCAGCTTCTTTAATGAGCCTCCTGCCCCCATATGGGCTTTCCATACACTTTGT